TGCGCCCTTAACCCAAACAGAGCGCAACAATGAAAAGGCGGCTTGAGTTACACCTCACATGGTTGCTAAGTAAGTAACTATGAACTTTACCTAATGTAATGCCAAAGAATTTTATTTAATGTCAAATAATCTACCAAAACGAATATAAAAAATATCATTAATTTTTTGAAACGATCAAGAAGTGCTGGACCAAATCAAAATCATAATTGGTGGACACTTTCTTGGAAACTGGGCAACCTACACGGATGTTGACCCCAAGGTCCGTGAACTATGGTGGAATCTGTTCAAGGTAAAAATAAATGAATGTTCCCTGCGTAATTGTAGTACCCTAATATATAACAAATGATTATTTTATCCGAGTTTTTTAATAAAGGACCGGTTTAGATGGACTGAAGCACAAGGCCCCGCTATTCTTAGAGCCTATAATGCTAGGATTTCAAACTGGCTTCGGCCCACTTTTAGGTGTGCCCGAGCGCGTGGGGTGCAGCCTAGATGGTGTTCGGTTGAGGTGTGGGCCAACCTCGTCCGCCACTGGTCTTCTAATCCAAACTTCTTGGCAAGGAGCGAATCCGGTAAGAAAAATCGGATGTCCGAGAAGGCATTGGAAACCCAATAATACGGGGGTCGCAAACCTCAGAGTAAACATAAAGAAACTCTTGTAAGTCCTTACATCATTACAACCCTTCATTTTCTACATTTATTTATGAATTTTAAGTTTTTTTTTGAACCATGTAGGCGGAACCTGAGAAGAAGAAAGTCTCGATCCTCAAGGTCATCAAGCATTGTTGGACAAAGCACGACGATGAGTCGGAAGCCGATCTGCCACCCAGCCTTGCCGAAATCGAAGTAAGTAACATCAATTTTATATTTAGAAACATTTCAAATCGAAATAAATAACATTTCAATAATTTTTGTACATGTAGACGAAGTACAACACAAATGTTGAGAAAAAACGTGCGGAATTAGGCTTGACCCAGGAGGATGAGATCGATTCTGATGTGGAAGATGATGCGATCCTTGAGGCAGCTGGGGTGTACAAGGGTCAGGTTCCGTGCATGGGGGCTGAAGGGCAACGGATTTTGTACGACCACAGTGGCAGCGGAGCTTCATCTTCTCGATCAAGGCGGGGAGAGGATCCACGCATCGCCCAAAAGCAGCGAGAATTGGAGGAGGAGGAGCGGGCATTAGAGCAGCAGCGAAAGGAGGAAGAAACAAGAGCCCGGCCGGAAGCGATGGAACGGATCTTAAACGTCGGATATCAGCCTCCGTCTCAGCCTCATCCTCGGCCGTACATATTGCACCCCGAGCAGACTCCTCAAGTTCCGCACATGGGCAATATGGGTTATCATTCTAACTCCGGATATAGTAGCATGTCTACGATGGATCCGACATTCAGGTCTCCATCGTATGGTTTCTTGAATCAATTTCAGTCATCCGGGGACCCAGCCGTGGAGGCAACCGAGGAGGAACCCGACCCGAAGACCCGTGGAGCCCGAAGAGAATGATTATGATGATAATGATGCATATGATAATGATAATCCTAGTTTTTATCATAATGGAGTCCGACGGCCGGGCATGTACTAGTACATTTTTAAGTTTAACATTTCACATTACTTTTATAATTCAAGTTTGTAACAATATTTATTGTGTATGTGTGTATGAAATTTTTCTTGATAAATTTTTGAAATATTTTTAACAACAATTTTTTTAAAGAAAAATTAAAATAATTTTTTGATTTTGTTTTTTAAAAAGTGGAAAAACTTTTTTTAAAAAAACAAAAATTTTAGTCACGGATCTGAGCAATGACTAATTTTTTAGTCCGGAATTCTTTTATAAATTTAAAATTTATTTTAAAAAAAAAAAAGGAATAGTCACGTATTCATGATCGTGACTAATACGAAATTTGAAAATTTGAAAATTTGAAAACTTAGTCACGGATCTTTCCGTGACTAATATGGACGAAGTTTAAAAACAAAAATAACTTTAGTCACGGACGTGTCCGTGACTAAGATAAAAAAAAAATTAAAATAAACTTAGTCACGGATCAGATCCGTGACTAACGTGACGGAGCAGCTATTCCGGTCAAGATTCAGTCACGGATCTGGTCCGTGACTACACTTAGTCACGGATAAATTGTAGTGACTACATTTAGTCACGCCCAATTAGTCACGGACCAGATCCGTGACTAAATTCGTTAGTCACAGATTTTTTACACTGCGGTCCGTGACTAAATTCGTTACTACAGCCCTATTTTTTGTAGTGTCTCTCTCTCTCCCTTGCCTCTTCTCCACACATCTCAACTCGCCTGTCAGGTGCATCACTTGATCGTCTACGCACATGACCAAACCACCGTAGGCGCGATTTTCGCATTTTGTCTTTAATAGGTGCTACTCCCACCATATGTTTGATTGATCCATTCCTCACGTGGTCCTTCCTAGTATGCTCACACATCCAACGCAGCATTTATCTCTGCCACACTCATCTTTTGAATGTGACATTGTTTCATCGCCCAACACTCTACGCCATACGGTAATGCAGGCAGGCCTAATTACTGTCTTATAAAACTTACCCTTCAATCTAGTCGGCATACCTCTATCACATAGAAATCCTGATGCACTCTTCCACTTCATCCACTCTGTTCCGATTCTATTACATACATCTCCATCTAACCCACCGTTCTTTTAAATTATGGAGCCAAAGTAACAAAACATATCGCTGACTGGATCTCCTTACCATCTAGAGTAATTCCGCTATTACCACTGTCTAGCACAAACTTGCACTACATGTACTCTGTCTTTCTCCGACTTAGTCTGAAACCCTTGTTCTCCAAAGTTTCTCGCCATACTTCCAACTTTGCTTTAAAACCTGATGATTGCGTCTCCTCAATCAATACAATATCGTCGGCAAACATCATGCATAATGCCGAAGAAGGTGAATAGCCTCAGTTGTTGAGCAACCAGGAATAAAACCGAATAAATTCTCTGAAATTTACGTTGTTCTTCGAAGTCTTTGCTCAATCACTCGCTCCCAAAATTTCATGGTGTGACTCATAAGCTTAATCCCTCGATAACTACTAAAATCACACTCTCAATCACTCACTTTGAACAAAAATAATTACTAACTTTCAAAAAGAAGAAGAATTATCAAAACTAATAAAATATTTGAGTTTAGTACTTTTGAATGGGGCTTTTTATTGGTTTTGATAATACTTCTTCTTTTTGAAAGTTAGTAATAATATCAAAACTTGGAAGTGGTAAACTAATAGTATACTAATAGTTTGAACCAATATACCCTACCTATTCATTTACCACAATGCATGCGATTAGGCACAATTGCTTAGGCCACGTATTGCCAATCATATAAATATTAGTTACATTAGAGTTGAATTTAAAGATGACACTTTTGATTAAATTTTAAAGCCTTAAATTCGAATTTTGTGATTTTGTGTATCAATTACTCCGTTCTTTATTAGGCATTTAGGCTGGTATCTGGAATAAGGAGAATGTTTACACACTAGATGCATATTAAACAGCCTAGCTTCTATGAAATAGTTTTTGATATCAATTAGGATTAAAAAACATTGATTAGGAGATGAAAAACACGTTCGATTAGTAGTAATACTTTAATAGTGATGTAAATCTAGAAAAAAATAGTTTATGTGTAAAGTAGAAAGTCTTTTTACAATTATTATAATTGAATTGAGATAATAATATTTGTTTTGTTAACCAGACACGTGAACTTTAAGTTTTTACTAATGAATGAAAAAATACTTGTCATATTGTTCAAACAAGCAAATACTTGTACTCATTCACATTGCATAAATATATGGTGTCATTATATTTAGCATTAGAAATAGTAGAGATCAACATATAATTGACATATCTTAGGGACTGCAGGACATATGATTAACATACCTTGTGGTCTATGAAAAGCTGAGAGTTATCGAGTCTTTTTAAAAAAAAATCTACAGACTAATCTAATACTTCCTCCGTTCTTTTTTAGTGGCAGGTAGTTATAAAATGTGTAATGGATTCTGTATGTAAGAATCATCTAAGGGTCCTCCTAAAATTTACAAAAGGTAACAACTGAAGTGCCTATAAGTCCTGGCAAAATCTTTCATGATGCACACATGGAGTACTACGTATGTCGTATTGAGAAAAGACCTTGGAGCATTTTGATTGAAAACTATGTGATCATGGATACAAACTTAACAGTAATAGTACATACCAGAACAAGGGGATGTGTTTTTCTAAAATGAATAATAAGGCTAACTAATTCCGATTGAAACTTCTACAAGTGTGGTTCAATAAAAATACAAACTTTTTTGGGTGTTTTAAGGTTGTAGATGAATTGTAAGGGCAATGAAATTACACTAAATGTAATTGGTGCAAATCAAGGGAGCTACATGCCCAAAAGTAGGATGAGTTTAGTAGTTGAGGTGATAGGAATACCTTTCCCATCATGCAACCGAATAAGAAAATGGTTAGCAACAGATTAAAGTTTCTCTGTTTTGAAGAAAATGCAATAATGTCCATACATGTTTGTTGGCACCAATTGGCAGATTGATAAGAATGGAACTCTGTAAAAGACAATGCGATAATGTTCATCAATGTTTGTTGGCCACAATTGGCAGTCATATAAGATGGATAAACTCTGTAATTGAACTTATAAATCCATTTTAAACCTTTTTTTTTTTCAGGTCCCAATTTTAGAGTCCCAAATCTAACGGTTCAATTCTGTTTTTCCTCAAAGCGGATCTGTTGTTTTTGTTCGGTTTTAGTTTTTTCGGTCCAAATGCCGGCCCTAGAAATCAGACACCATTCAGCAAGCAAAACAGAGTATAAACCCTGCCCTCTTCGTAATAACCGCAACTAAAACAAAGTCGTTCGCAGAGAACGTAGAAATCCCTCGGCAGATAATACACGGGACCGATATAAAAGAAGAAGAAAACCAACAAACAACGAAACGCAGACACTCAACAGTAAGGACGAGAGCTGAACCTTTTTCGAGCCGGTGAAGGAGACAAAACGACAACTCAGCCCTCCGTTGCTCGTTCCTCCGAGTCGCATAGCCACCATAGTTCGTCGCTGTCCTCAGTCGCCGCGTGGAAAATCAGACCCTAGATTGCCAAAATGCAAAGAGATCCGTGCGCCGCTTTCTTCATAACCGCGGGCGCTCGTCCAAGCTCCTTCAGCGTCGGCTATATGGAGAGTGAAACATCGCCGCCCCTAGTTTAGGGTTGAGTTTCAGCATGGTAGTTATTTATAGTAAAAATTAGACTAGTCTCATGTACGCCAGTTCGTAAACGTGGTTTTTGCACGATTTTTTAAAAAAAACTCATTTACAGTACACACGTGTACAGTAATTGTTTTTTTTGTCCCAGTGGTATGAATGATGTAACTCGCGTGTAAAGATACGTAACTCATGTTATTGATCAATGTAACTCAAACATAAAAATATGTAACTGCAGGTCAATCCAAATATAACTTGTCCAATATACAAAGTAGAAGAAATAAAACATTGATTTCAATGTAACAATGAAAAAAAGGTCTAATTATCCAATTAATTTACATAAATGATGAATATGTTTTGTTTTTAATATTAGAGCTATAACAAATGATTTTTAATTAAAAACAATTTTGTTTAAATAGCAAAAGTTTATTTCGTTGCGTAACTCGCACTATTTTGTGATGTAACTCCTCTTATGATAAATGTAAATAACGTGTAAACGAGATGTAACTTGTTCACAAAAGTTGAAATGTAACTTGGCCTAATATATACTCTGTATGTAACTTGAGATAAAAGGAAATATAAATTATTTTAATAAAAATGTAACTTAGGGAGAGAATTAAAAATATGTGTAAACGAAAAAAAAAAAAAAAAAAAAGGATTCCCAATAGACCCCATATCCCACTAGATCTGAAGACGGAGATGGAGTTTAAATCCCTCTTCCTTGTGTAATGCGGCCAAGCCCTGAGTTCAAATCCCCGTTCGTTCCTCTGTGTCACGTGGCCAGGGCATTTGGATCAATCGGCAGCCTAATCGTTGGGAGGAGAGATACGCAGATCCAGATGATTCCATTGTAGAGCAGAGCAAATAGCAGAGCTTTTTCTTTAGGTTTGGTAGGGGACGACGACTCAACATGAATCAAGATCCACAACTTCCGACGCTTCTTCCTTGCTCGAGGTATCTCCTTTGAATTCTCAGCCTTCTTTATTGGTTGCAGATCCGGTCATGGCCTCTGTTGAACTCCTCAAAATTGTTCAGGCGAAAGAGATGACGGGGCAAAGGAGACGAAATGCGAAGGAGTAGAAGGAGATAAAAAAAAAGGATGGGGAACGGGATGGACGCACCTTCTAGCCTCTGTTTTTAATCCCAAAACGGCACCGTATTGGGATGGGCATACTGTGTGCACGGTATGTCGATCCCACGGTATAATTTGCGCATGTACGCTATTTGTTATACGTAGTAGTTATTTTTAGGGGTGGTTCGGTACGGTATACCTTATATTTTTCCTCATACCTTTGCCTTACCAAAACTTTCGGTATGCAAAATTTGCATACCTTTACCTGACCGAAGTTTCGGTATATCGCATTTCGGTATACCGAAGTTTCGGTTCGGTAACGGTACGGTATCGGTAAATTACCGTGCATGTCTCCCAATACAAAAAATTATCATAGACTAACGAAATATACTAAATCGTTATTACTAGCGACATGTTAAATCTATTATTAAAATGTTACGAAATACAATTAATAATGTATTGATGTCAATTCAATATTGAACAATTATTATTATTATTATTATTATTATTATTATTATTAGTATATTTAAGCAGTTTAACATGCCGCATATTAAAAAGTAACACATCTCCTAAAATAACTTGAACAAAGATAGATATAATTAAATCAATAGTGATCTCTAACAAAAATAAATAAAACTATTCAAACAACATGGATATAAAATCATTTGTTCCTAATATGATATTGTGTATTTAGTCATTTTTATAATTTTTTAAAAATTGAATAAGACTTTCGGACAAAGTTATGTGTCTCGACTCGCGGAATCCCCATGTAGATACACTTGTCAGATAAGTGTATCTCTCTTCACTCGTCAGCTACTCAGCGGCCCAGCCATCACGATTTGCAAGATCTTGGAACAAGATGGACTTGTTTCTTGACATTTGCACATTACTTATTAGTCATTAAGGTTAGCGTAGTAGAAGCCTATAAGGTTATAGTGGGTTTGAGAAATTGGGCCTTTATTTTTGTAATTTTGTATTTGTAACCAACTTAAGTATTAATTTTGGACTCTAAAAAAAGTATTAATTTTGGGCTTCAAAATTGTAATGGATTTCTACAATATATTAGAATTAAAAGTAATTGTTGAGTAGGGAGTCGGTACGGTATTATACCGGTATACCGCGGTATTTGAAAACATTTACCATTACCGTATTGAAATAGATCGGTACGGTATGATACCATACCGAAAATGACGGTATACCAATATTTCGGTATTTTCCGGTATTTTTCGGTACGGTAAGTGCGGTATACCGATATTTCGATATTTTTGCCCACCCCTAGTTATTTTAAATGTAGCCACTTCAAAAGTTGGAAAAAATTATGTTTACTACACGGTTGAAATCCTATTTTTTGAATGTTGTACATCCATAAATACGGATGTTTTTATTTAAAATGTTTTCTTTTTGATTGAAATTTACCGGTCTAGTCTGGTCTGATCTGGTCTGGTCTGAAATGGTCTGGTATAGTCTGGTCTGGTAAACGTCTGGTATCTGTGTATTTTATAACTACGGAAGTCTGGTTTGGTCTGGTCTCGTCTATTTAAGTCTGATCTGGTCTGATCTGATCTGATAAAATGTCTGACCATTGTGTCTTTTATAACTATGGAGGTCAGGTCTAGTCAGGTCTGTTTAAGTCTGATCAGGTATTTTAAGTCTGATCTGAAACTGAAAACAATTAAGAACATCCTAACCCGCTAGAATACCTTCTAATTGATATTTAAATTTTAAATCTGTTTTACTAATTAATTTACATATTTAGAACAACATGTAGAATGGAGAAAAGAAATTCAAAATTTACTACAAAGTTGAAAGTAAATTGCTTTCAAAAACGTAAATTGCAATTTCATTTAGAACGAATGAATGAAATTCAAAATCTTCTAAAAACATTAGTCCAGTATAAGAAATTAAAAAAAATAAAAAATGCAAATATTATAATTTTTATATTTCAGTCACAAACAATAAAATACGGAAATTCAAAATTTTCTAAACACATTATTCCAGTATGTGAAACTAAAAACAAAAAAATTGTAAATTTTAAATTCAAAGCCTCAAACATTAATTAAAATCAGGAAAAATGAATTGGACAAGATGGAGCCGATCGTGTTGAACCGGGTCACAAATTTGTCCAAGACCTTTTTGGAAAGAATCGAGTCGGTCTGAACCGGGTCAAGCTTAACCGAGCAAGCTAAACCAGGACAGAATGAATCAGTCAAGCTGAACCGGGTCGGGTTGAACCGGATTGGGTTAAACCAGGTACGATTTGTAGGAAATATGATGAAATAAATAATTGTATAATATATGCGATGGATGTGGGATACATTAAAGAACAACTTATATGTTTGGATTTATTTCATTTAATGATTAGAATCCATAGTTGTATAAGTTGTAAAAGTGATGTATTGATTTGATGAATTTAGTGTCCAATATTTAAAATAAATGGCAATTTTATATGATAAGGAATAATATTCAAGTGTCATATAAGTTGACTTGCTTGAACCAAGCAGAATGATGGGTTAATGGACAAATAAATTCATGTCAAAAGCCATTTATTTTTGGGACAAAATTCTGAAATGCTTTTTATAATAAAAGTTCAAATAAATGAAGTCTACGGAAGTTTTGCTCAAGTAATATTGTTGGCCATGTTTTAACATGAAATGTGCAATTTGAAATCAAATTTGAATTTCAAAATGCCTAGTCAAACGTGCATGGTTAGTTGATGCGAATATCATGGCTCGTGGCAATATTGTAGGAGCAATTAAAGTTTGTGACCCAATACTCTATCCATATATGTATACAATCTGATTTCCAATAAAAACACTCTCCGCTGCATGCTTCCTCATTCTCACGTACTAAACTAGTCAATTGCTAGCCTTGTTCATTTTTCACTTGAGACATTCACGAACATACTGTTCGTTATTATTTAGCTCATTTCATTTTGCTTCCATTTGAGCTTTGTTCTTCACGAGAGAAAAATTCGAAAATTTCCATAGTTTATAGATCATTTCTTTTCCGGCTCATCTCATTCAAACGGCAATTGGGCAACGGTCGAAGTGTTTCTGTCAAGCAAGCTAAAGGACCGAAACAGAGGTAGGATTATCCTGGGAGCGAGTTGGCCAGTCCCGTTCGAGTAGCTATCGAGATACGGGGGCTATCTTTCTTCAAGGCCAGTCCGGTTAACGGACGATCTTACGCTAAGTCATTCTTTCTCTATCTTTTATCTTAATATTTCATTTCTAATTATTGTTGTTATTTTATTTGTTCTTGCATTTGATGGTTTGTCTGGTGATTTGTGATTAAACTCGGGATTTTATCTGTCTAAACTCGCCATTTAATACTATTTTTCTAACAATCTTGAAGAAAGAGATTATTTCTCGAGTTTTGAAAATCCAATATGACGAACTTGGAAAATGCTGCTACTTCTGAAAACGTTGTTGTTGAGAATAATGTGAATGAAACCCCTGAAAATAATGTTAATTCTGTGTTTGTGACTAATTCTGGAGACACACCTGAATTTGTTGCTAAGGGTTCTCACAGGGTTGATTTGACCGGAATGCCTGAAAAATTTTCCGGGAATTTTTTCAAGCGTTGGCAACAACGCATGAAAATTTGGTTAATCACCAAGGGATTGCTCTCGGTAATTATGATGGTGTGTCCCCCCGTTGTCGAGTCTGATCCCAAAAGTGTTGAACGCCAAACTTTATGGCGTGAGAGGAATGAAATAGCGAAAGGAATGATATTGTTGGGACTCTCCGACATGTTATTTGATGTCTATTGCACCCTCCACGGCACGGCTAAAGACCTTTGGGATGAGTTGGATAGGAAATATAATACTGATGACCACGGTCTAGAAAAGTATATTGTTTCCAAATTCTTGAGATTCGACATGAAAGAGGGAAAATCTGTTTTAGAACAAACACAAGAATTTGAGCTTATCTTACATTCTCTCCGTGAAGCAAATATGGA